CAAGATTTCATATACAAACTTTGTCTTTGAGTGTTGATTATTGTTGTTTACATTCTTCAGGCCACCAAGCTGTCCCTTCATACCATCGAGGACAAGCCAGCAGAGGAACTTCCCGTTCTTACTTCTGCCGCACTTGAAGAAATCTCCGATCCCAACGTCATTATCAACAAGATGATCACGTTAGAGACTCGGTGTGCTCAGATGAAGCCCAACCTCGGAGCCATTGCCGAATACAAGAAGAAGGTGCGCACAAAATGCGACCAGGCTTCCTTCTGTCTAACCTCAGGAGCTTCACAGATGTAGTCATTAATGAAACGTGCACTCAGTCAATACGCGTCATTGTGTGTTTTCAGGAGGAGCTGTACCTGCAGCGCGTGGCTCAGCTGGACGAGATCACTACAGAGAGGGACAGTTTCAAGCGCGGCTACGAGGACCTGCGCAAACAACGGCTCAATGAGTTCATGACCGGATTCAACATGATCACAAACAAGCTGAAGGAAAACTACCAGATGCTCACACTGGGCGGCGATGCAGAGCTGGAGCTCGTGGACAGTTTAGACCCGTTCTCTGAGGGCATCATGTTCAGGTAACCAAACTGCTTAAAGACCAGTGGCACATTACGATGGCTCCTGTTGACATGAGTGCTGATTTTCTGTTTCTCTTTCTCTCTCTCTCTTTAGCGTGCGTCCTCCAAAGAAGAGCTGGAAAAAGATCTTTAACCTGTCAGGAGGTGAAAAGACCCTCAGCTCCTTGGCTCTGGTGTTCGCTTTGCACCACTATAAACCCACACCGCTCTACTTCATGGACGAGATCGATGCTGCTCTTGATTTCAAGAACGTCTCCATTGTCGCCTGTTACATATACGTGAGTATGGATCGGTGTATTAGGCGATGAGAGGAGCTGCATGGGGAAGTTTTAAAGTTAGGGGTTGGAGTGTTGGAGTAACAAGCCTCCTTACTGACTAACATCTGTCTAACTAACATCTGTCTAACTTCAGTGTCCCTGAGTCAAGCTGATTCAAATGGGTGCGGTTGGATGATGCAGCGACCCAACACGCATCGTATTAGCCAGAATATTTTAAGAACTGTGTAACTGATCAGTGCAGTAATCGCTGACTCATGAGAGCTCAGTGTTTCTGTTGTGTAATAATGGAGGAGTTCAGAAAAATCACCTGTTTTTGGAGCCGGATCCAAACCAAGTACAAAGCCTTTAACTGTTTGTCTCCACTGTGCCTGTTATTTTTATAGCCGTGTGGATAAATGTTCACTTCATTCTTAAGACACATGAATCGGAATTTTTACTTTCCTCTCATCTCTGTGCAGGAGCAAACGAAGAACGCTCAGTTCATCATCATCTCCCTGAGGAACAACATGTTTGAGATCGCCGATCGTCTCATCGGCATCTACAAAACTCACAACACCACCAAGAGTGTGGGAATCAACCCCAAGACCATCGTGTTCAAAGAGCACGACGCCGTCACTGCTTAAACCTCAAGAATCTCTGATGAACTCAGGGTCGTCTGTTCTGTTTTACTTTCCTTTTCACACATACTGTGTAAATATTTTTATATCTTTTTATCTTATCCTTCACGATCAAATGCTGCTATTCTTTACTATCTGAACCAATAAATAAATACGTTTTCTTGAATATATTTTGGCCGAGTTGTCTTTAAAGTCTGTCACTCAAAACTGATCCGAGTCCTTGAAGTCCCAAAATTGTTCACGCTTATTATTTAGCAGAAAGTTTAATAAAATCTTTTGTGACTTAAGTATTCCTGTAATAAAACAAACCAAAAAGAGACACAAAAGGTGGATTTACAGTAGGCGATATTTAAAATATACTATTATAGTAGTATATTATATTTATATTATACTACTTATTGTGTAAAAGCAGCACAAACTGTGTACACTGGTAATGTTCTGCACTGAAGTCATGTGGTGGCTCGGACATATATTTCACACTGCGAAGACAACTGTAGCGAGCATCAGTTAATCGACATCACTGCAGCACTAACTGACCCCCAGCTCACACTGGCACACACATGACTTTTGAAAAATGACGACTGAGACAAAAACTAAAAGCATTTGAATACATTTATTATGACTTTCTTTTAAAATACAGGAACTGAGAATACATTTAGAAAAATACAACCACTGCAACAGGTCTGAGTCATGTAACACTTGTTCGGTCTGTGGTGTTTGCAGTAAGACACAAGATCCTAGTCTGCCTCATACCTGTACATGTAGACGTCTGACTCAAGCTGGTGGTTCGGTCCGGCTAAAAAGTCAGCTTGAGCCAAATAAAGCAACATCTGTGGGACGCACTGGTAAAGTTTTTCCAAAGGCTATAATACGTTTTATAATAGACCGCCAGTGCAGCGTTAAAAGAAAACCCAGCACTGTCCTAACCCAGACGTATTGATCGTGGTGGAAGTACAGTCCAGTAACAATAAGGCCGTAGAGTGGAGGGTGGAGGTGAAGGCGCAGCGAGGGAGCCGCTCAGAGCTGTGCATCGCTGCAACATGATCTGTGGTCCACTGTGTGTCTGGTTCCACTCACCAGGCTCTAAAGTTCACATACTGTAAACAGTCTTGTGTAAGGAGATACATGTGCAGCTGTGTACTGGTGTCCTGAGCTCTCTGACACAACGCTACCGAAGTGTCCCGCTGCATGATGGGAAAGGGTGACTTAAGAGTCTCTAGGCACCGGTTTAACATTTTCCATTTTTTATTAGTGTTTGATAGGATACACGATTATTAGTCACTACCAAAGAGGAACATAACACTCGACAATAACGCCATTCAATATATAAAAAGATTCACGGCTACATAAACTGCTCAAATTATATAAAGATATCAGTATTTTTTATCTCTTTATCCGCTTTCCCCCGGATCTGCGCAGGACCTTTGGGAATCTTTGAACTGAGGCTAAAGGGAAAAAAAATCCACCCTCAAATTAACATTATCATCTACGTGTGACGGTTAATGAATGATCGTTTATGTGTGTCAGTTTTACCTAAACCGGCCTCGACTATCGGTTCATTGGTTTACTTATGCGTGGATTTTCTACCAGCGGTGAAGCATTAACAGAAACAAAAGGAGTAACAAAAAGTACCTGCAATGCATTGTGGTCCATTCACTCTACTGTTAGCACAGCCGGTTCAGTGTTGGTCTAAACAGAAATGCTTGTTTCACAGTGAGGCTAACAGCACAATCGGATTAAATATGTGTTCGCTATCAGACTTAAAAACACAAAACCATGAATGGCGGGTGTTCAAGGAGGGATTTTTTCCTTTCGCTACAGGAATGCAGAAGTGAGACTTTCTCAAACTCCTCTAAATAAAAAGTCAATGGTTCCAGTTTGGTGTGTTTTCAGTGGGATGTCAGAGTTTTCAACGAGGCAGTCAGCTGCTGGAAGGCCTTTTCACTCACTGAGGAGAGGTGAGAGCTCCACCTTTCTACAGCGGCCTCCATCGCCGCGTATGCAGACCCCACCGCGTCCCACACGGATGCCATCAGTTCGCTGCTGAGGCCGTGGACCAGCTGACTGAACCGGGAGACCAGAGAGAAACCGAGCGACGCCCCTCCGACCGGGTTGGCCCACAGCGCCACCGCCAGCAGCAGCAGCCCCAGCAGCACCACGGAGGTGGTGGGCCGCAGCTCGCACCACAGGTCCCGCGCCCAGCCGTCGGACCGATCGCCCTCGGCGTCGGTTTCCACGCCGGCCTCCACGCCGCCACATCTGGCGCAGCAGCACACCTTCGGGACGGGGGCTTCCTCCAGGCTCCCGATGGTCACGGCGGGCCAGTGCTGCCGGAGGTACTCTGCTGCCCGCGGGGTGACGGAGAGGTTTATCACTGAGGGCAGAGGGGTTGTAATGAACTCCTCCACCCTCTCTCGGAACAAATGCACCTTCTCCAGGAAGACGAGCGGCGAGTCCTCCTCCTCCACTGATGAACCCAAGGACACCAGGTCCAACTGCTCTTCCTGCAGGAAACAACACTGTTACCGGTGCTACGGAAGATCAGTGGTGCTGAAACGATTCATCCATGAATAAAACAATTGTCCACCAAAGTACTCGTACAGCTGCTGGTGGAACTTATTTGAGTGCTTATATCCACTTACTGAGTCAACGTTACATAGAGCACGCAGAGAAGGGAATGAATGGTTGAGATGGATAGCTAATTACCAACTTGATGGTAACCCAGTTTACAATCAATTCAAATGAGGTTTCGATTAAGAATAATTTAGTTTATCAGACAGGTTTGTTCATTAGAGAAGAAGAACTGATCTGGATTCTCAATATGAGGACTTGTTGCTTGTTCTGGGGGGGGGGTCACCTTGGGCTCCACTTGTGATGGACACTGAAACTTTTATGCAGTAAATAATCATTAGCTGCAAACACGCTGAAGCATTTTAACGTCAATTAGATATCCCAGAATAATTTGCGTGAATGTCAATGCAGCATTAATTATTAATTAATAACACATGGGAGTCGTTTCCGAATATCCAAGCCGCCTTCTCATTACCTGTCCATGCTAAAGTATGTAGTTTGTCAATAAACATGTGCTATGACCTGATATACATCAGCCATTAGCCCCAACACACACACACACACACACAGACACACACACACCTGTAGATCCTTCACTCTGTGGATGAGAGGGTCGTAGGCCCGGGACACCTCCGCACCGGCTGTATCCAGCGCCTCCAGGTAGGCCTGTCTCTTCCTGGCCAGCACTGCCTCCAGCGTCTGGAAGTACTGACTGACCTCCTGTCGGTCCTGCCTCACCAGACCATCGCAGCGGGCCTTCTCCTGCTTCAGCTGCTCCCCCAGCTCACACACCTAACGGAGGGAAACAAGGAGAGTCAGTTGTCTATAAAATAGTGTAAAATAAACACACCATCGAGGGTTTCTTTCCACACAGGAGTCCCCACCTGAGCCCATCTACGCTCAGAGAGTCTGGCCAGCAGCAGCGACGGGGTCTGTTTCTCTCTAATGAACGCCGCCTGCAGGTCGTCTATGGGGTGGCCCTGGTGCTGCCCGATGGTCAGACACAGCCCACAGATCAGCTGCCGATCCTGGATGCAGTACATGTTCAGAGGCTGCCTTTGGTGCTCCTGACAGGAAGGGGCTCGCGGCTCGCTGTCACTCTGGTACTGACACAGCAGGTGAGCGGACAGACATGCACAGACAGATGAGCACAAACTGAAGCAGCAGAGTATCCCCCCCCCCCCCCCCCC